TAGTGATCAGAGCAGAGATAAATAAAACTAAAATGAAGAAAATCAATACAGAATATAGATGAAACAAAAAGTTGGCTTCGGAAAGCTTTACAAAATTGACAAACTTTAGCCAGACTAAGTAAGAAAAACCAGAGAAAATCCGAATAAATAAAATCAGAGAGTAAAAGGGGGCATGACAACTGATACTGCAGAAATTCAAAGGATCGTTAGTGGTGACTATGAGAAACTGTATGAAAATGTATTGGAAAATCTCCAAGAAATGCATAAATTCTTATCCATACAACTTACCAAGTCTGCATGAAGATATCCAAAACTGAATAAGCAAAGATATGTAACAAGTTAAAAGCCATAATAAGCAGTCTTCAGTAAAGGAAAGCCCAGGACTTGATGGCTTCACTGGTGAATTCTACCAAACATTTAAAGAAGAACCAGAATCAACTTAATTGATACCAGTTGTACTCAAACTATTCCAAAAAAAGTGGAGGAGAGGGGAAATACTTTCAAAATCATTCAAAACTCCTGTTTTACCCTGATACCAAAACTGGACAAAGACACATCACAAAGGAAAAAACAAAACTACAGGCAAAAATGTCTGATGGGTATTGATGCTAAAATTCTCACTAAATACTAGCAAATCAAACCAAACATACATTACAAAGATCATTCATCATGACCACGTGTAACTTATCGCTGGTATGCCAAAAGGTATGTTCATGCACACATCAGTCAGTCTGATACAGCATATCAACAGAATGAAAGCTAAAAGCCATAGAATCATTTCAATTGATGCTGAAAGGACATTTTGATAAAATTCAATATACTTTTAATGTTAAAAACCCTGAAAAAACTGAACTGGGTATAGAATGAACATACATCAACATAATAAAAGCCATCTATGTCAGACCCATAGCATATTTGTATTTATTTATGATTTTATTTTATTTTATCAGTTTTGAGACAGAGTCTTGCTCTGTCACCCACGTTGGTATGCACTGGCCCCAACTCGGTTCACTGCAACCCCTGCCTCCTGGTTTCAAGCAATTTGCATTCCTCAGCCCATGGAGTAGCTGGGACTACAGGCATGCGCCACCACGCCCAGCTAATCTTTACTATTTTTCGTAGAGACGGGTTTTGCCTTGTTGCCCAGGCTCGTCTCAATCTCCTGAGCTCGGGCAATCTGCCCCACTTAGCCTCCTAAAGTGCTGGGATTACAGGTGTGAGCCACTGTACCTGACCTCATAGCATATTTCTTTTAAATGGCATCCGTTTTTCCAATTTACTCATTCTACAACGGAGGGATCCAAAGTCTGAAGAAGGTATGCAGTTTGCCCAGATTGCCAGAAAGAATATGAGATTTAGGGCAGAATGAACCTAGGTTTGAACACTGGTGCACAATTACAGACATGCTGAGCTTCTCTAGGCCACAATTTCCTCACCAGTAAATGGGGTCCCCGTGGTGGCTTCTACCTCCTGATACTGCTGTGAGTATCGCATTTCTGCTGAACATCGTCCCTCTGCCTTTCCAGATCCACATATCACCCTTTTTCACCCACTCTGTCCTGGGAGGCAGTTTAGAGGGCTTCTCTCAATGGGCTCCTGGGCTCTCTGATGTCCACTGGGTTTGGCTAATGGGGAGCCTCAAGGAGAGTCAGAGGTAGGAGGGAGAAAGGAAGGAGAGTGAGGGCTGTGGGCCTATTCTCCTGGCTCCATCCCTGTGAGTCACCTCGGGCTGGATGAGTCTCTTGGTAGAGGTCACTGTTCATCTCCAGATAGCCATTTCCTCATGATTATTGATCATTGTAGGTTCTAGTAACCGCTTCCTCCCTGCTCTCATTTTTTAGGTCTGGAGTGATGGCAGCTGCTACTAGCACAATCTCTGATGTTCCCCCTGCATCCACCTGTTTGAAAATGGTTCCTTTGCAGACAAATATTTGTCAAATTGTTCCATTTTGGATGGACCATCTGTTTGATCTAGGTACTACATGCTCAGCGCAGAGCCTGACATATAGCAGGTTCTTGGGGTATGGAATCTATTGCTAGTAGTAGTAGCGGTAGTCATGTCGAGGTAGTAGTGGCTGTAGTGGAGGTAATGGTGCTGGCATTTTTCAAAGCCACTCATTCAGTCACATTCAAATTCAGCAGTAGGATTTATCCCTCTTTCATAACCAACTCTTTCTCATTGATTACTCTTCACCTGTCTGTGTTCCAGAGCAAAATATATGGTTGGCTTCTAACACCTTGCTCTCTGTGGCCAGAGTGGAGCAAATCCCAAGAAGATCCTTTCCTATAGCTGGTACTTTGTGTGGTGTTTAAACCTGCCTTAGGCAGCTAAAAAGTGTGACAACAATTATTGAAAATATAGTTGAGGTTATTACTATGACTAAACTAGTGTCAATTTACAATAGCATTTGTACAAAGGCCCGAAAACGAGCTGAAAAGGTATCCAGTGGTCCCTGGTTCTGGTCCTGGCTTCATCTCTGACTTATAGCATGGCATAAGAGAGTGTGTCACTCAACCTGATATGATAAGGAACAATATTCTTGAAAACTGAACACATCAGAAATCTTTTAAAAAGTTCAATATGATGAACTCATTGTATGCTGATGACCTTAAATTTTTAAAATTCATTTTAGTGACAAATATACCATAATCGTTAAGTTTTTCAATACGTGTTATTTTATAATGTAAGCTGTCATCTTTCAATAGGAATATACACTGAATGTGTTCCTAACATTTTGATGAATTTTCTTTGGATAGTGTTGTACTCATCAAAACATTTTTTGGTAAAGAAATTTAAAAAAAATGATAAATGGTAATAAATAAGATAATTAAAAGCTGTTATTTTCAGCAATTTTAATCAGTATTGACCTACCGTATTGGATGCAGTGTGCCTGTTGATTCTTGCTTGTTTTTTCTGTTTTTTTTGTTTTTGTCCATTATAACATGACCTGACAGGGTGCTGTTCTCACTGCTAATTGCAGACAAGAATCCAAAGGAAATAAATACTTAGATGTGAGTTTGTAAGGGTTTACTAAATGGAATTGTTAATCTCTAGACAACATCGGGGATTCACTAAAAAAATAAAGTATACCTTAATAACAATGTTCACCTGATGTGTTAGTGTTTAGACGACAGTCTTGGGAATGCTATAAATTATTTGTTTCTGAAAATTAGCAGAGCATTTTGCTAGTTTTTTATTGATTTTATGATGTATGAAGTAAAGATATAGGAGCTTGGTGAACACTAGAACAAAACCCGAGGTCTAATTCTCTTTGTTTATTTATCAACTATTTTTCCCATTATTGAGTTTCGTGACTTTCTATAGAGAACGGCACAAGTGTCAAGCTGTGGGTAAATCTAGGGCCATGCCTTCTCTATCTTTGGCCTTCTGTCTTATTCTGGTTTTAAAACATTTTTAGTTGTTATTTTGAAACAATTATAAGTTCGCAAGAAATTTCAAATACGCACCCAGAGGCCTTATATACCCTTTACCCAATCTCATCAATAGTAAAATCTTCGGTACCACTACCACATTACACGTTCAAAACTAAAACACTGACAGTGATACAATCCAGAGCTTTTTAAGATTCAACACTTTTCTTTTGGCTATTCTAGAAAATTTATATTTTTGTATGAATATTATAATTATCCTGTTAATTATATTAAGAAGCCTTCCTAGAATTGTGATTAGGATTCAGTTGAAGCTACAGATGAATTTGGAAATAACTGACATCTTACAATATTGAATCGTCTAACTGAAAATCAAATTATACATCTCAATTTTTCCTTGGGTCATTAATTTATCTTTGCAAATTTGTTGCTTTAAGTATACAGATCATGTATGTCTCTGTTCAGATTTATCCCTAAGCATTTAATATTTTAGTGGTATTTTACATTTCACCATTCTTAATTTCAACTTCTACTTGTTCACTTCTAATATATAAACATACAATTGATTTATATGTTGATCTCCTATCCTGCAATCTTGCTAACCTCAATGATTGTAGAAGCCTTTTTTAGATTGACTTTACTACACAGACTCTCATGTAGTCTTTGATAAAAGATACTCTTACTTCTCTCCTTCCAATCTGAATGCCTTTTTTTCCCCCACTGGACACAATTTGCAGTATAAAGTACAACTATGCCCACATTGGTGCACATGTTGGTCTTAGATTGCAGTATGCCGCATGTAAACACTCAGAACAACTTCCAGCACTTGAATATCCATTCCTCCCTGCACTGCACATACTGGTAGAATTCACGTTGGAATACTACATTTACTATGAACAGACACCCTTCATTTGAAACAAGACTAGGATACACAGGAGAGCATCTTTTTTCAGTAAAGTTTTGGCAGACTGAAAGCCAACATTTCAGATTGGAAATAGGACACTTAAATGAACTACATGGACACTGGGTAAATAATATTGGTTGAAATTTGCCTGGCAGTAGGCTAAAAGTAAACTGTCTTCAAGGTGCATATGAAGGAACTGTAGGAGGGAAATGGGATAATTCACATCTCCACCAATAATTAGATGTAGCCACACTAGCTTGATGGGATTTCAGGTGAGACATCTAAAATGCTAGGTCATGGTGGGGACTGGAAGAGAAAAAATGGATTACTTAATATGAAGGGCTGTGGGGAAGAGCTTGAAGGAATCATCCTCTCACTTGATGTGACCCATGAACATTAAACATGGAGAAATGAGGAGTGGTGCCAGATCAGTTTTGGATGCATCTTCAGGGGATGGTGAAACAACAACAGCATTTGGTTTTCTCTACATCCCTTTCATCCTTTGCCCCCAAGCCCAGGGAGTTGCCAGGGAGTTGCCAGGGAGTTGCTAGGGAGTTGTCAGGGAGTTGCCAGGGAGTTGCCAGGGAGTTGTCAGGGAGTTGTCAGGGGTGGTGCTTTGTGATGTCAAAGCCATCCTAGGACTGCCATTGGCTGGGACACTGCCTGTATGATCAAACAAAGCTCAAGGGTGTGGCTTTGCCTGGTCACCAGGAGGGTGTATATAGGGAGGGCAAGAGCTCTGGGAAGACCCACTGGCAAGCTTCAATGTAGCTGTGGGTATCTGTACCCTAGAAGGGGCTAGTATACACATTCTAGTACCTGCCATAATTATGGAAGGTCCAACTTCAAGCACCAACGGGAAGAAGAGGAAGAGTCCCTGTGAATCTAGTAATAAAGAAAGTGATGAGGTAAGATTGTTCAGTTTTGTAGGGAAAGCTAGGGTGAGCGAAGACACATAGAGATGGGGCGGCTCAAATAGCAGCACAGAAATATTGCAGGCACCTGTGGAAGTGGGGGGCCAGCTTTATGCCATAGCCTACTGCCGCTTACAGTCTGGGGTAATTACAGGCGTGGGTGTGAGGGATCTAAGCACTGTGGTTTGCTGACTGGCAGGTTATTTATGAGATGTGCTTATGGTCAGATGGTTTGGCCCTTGTTCTGGTGAAATATCATTGTGGTGTTCCTTAGAGCTTTGCCAAGCAAGATGTGATAGTGATGTTTCTTTAGTTGGGCCTTTGTCTGCCCTGTGCTCAGGCGGTTAGGCAGGTTGTTTCTCACAGCCTGAACCCCCATGGAATGTTTCACTTTGACCAAGGCCTGCAAAATAGCAAAGAGCTTACAAAATGGTGCAGTTGGGACTAACGCGGATGACCCTAGCCATGCTCCTCTTCTTCTTCCCCATAGATCCCTACCCTATGATTCCACCTTGTTCTTCTCTGGCACACACCTCTTTCTCAACCTGCATTTTTTCTTGTAACAACCCCTCCTGCCAGCACGGCTATTCAGTCTCTACCATTTTCACCAAAAATAACGTCTTTCTGCCCTCTCCCTGGTTCTTACCAGACACAGGAGACACTGAACGGAGCTTTAGCCTCTGAACAAAGCTTGAAGAAGACCAAAAAATCACAATATCCAACAATATTAGTGTTTTACTACAGGAAGGGTAAGAAAATATGTTCAAATCAAATGGAGAAAGACCAGTCCCGACAGAATTCCATTGATCCAATCCAAGAGGAGGGGGACAAAGACCTAGGCCCATGTGAAGGATCTTCACAGAAGGACGAAAACCTAGACTCATGGGAAGGATACTCACAAGAGGATGAAGACCTAGATGACTCAGCTGAAGGATCTTCACAGGAGGCCGAAGACCTAGACTCATGTGAAGGATCTTCACAGAAGGACGAAGAGCTCGACCCATGTGAGGGAACTTCACACAACGACAAAGACCTTGACCCATGGGAAGAATCTTCACAGAAGGACGAAGACCTCGACTCATGGGAAGGATACTCACAGGAGGATGAAGACCTCGACTCATATGGAGGATCTTCAAAGAAGGATGAAGACCTCGACTCATATGAAGGATCTTCAAAGAAGGATGAAGACCTCGGCCCATGGGAAGGATCTTCACAGAAGGACGAAGACCTCGACTCATGGGAAGGATATTCACAGGAGGATGAAGACCTCGACTCATATGAAGGATCTTCAAAGAAGGATGAAGACCTCGACTCATATGAAGGATATTCAAAGAAGGATGAAGACCTCGACTCATATGAAGGATATTCAAAGAAGGATGAAGACCTCGACTCATGGGAAGGATATTCACAGGAGGATGAAGACCTCGACTCATATGAAGGATCTTCAAAGAAGGATGAAGACCTCGACTCATATGAAGTATATTCAAAGAAGGATGAAGACCTCGGCCCATGGGAAGGATCTTCACAGAAGGACGAAGACCTCGACTCATGGGAAGGATACTCACAGGAGGATGAAGACCTTGACTCATATGAAGGATCTTCAAAGAAGGAGGAAGACCTCGACTCATATGAAGGATCTTCAAAGAAGGATGAAGACCTCGGCCCATGGGAAGGATCTTCACAGAAGGACAAAGACCTTGACTCATGGGAAGGATCTTCACAGGAGAACGCAGACCGCGACACATGGGAAGGATCTTCACAGAGGGACGAAGACGTCGACCCATTGGAAGGACCTTCACAGAAGTACAAAGACCTCGACCCATGTAAAAAGTCTTCACAGCAGGACGAAGACCTCAACTCATGTGAATGCTCTTCACAGAAGGATGAAGACCTCAACTGATGTGACAGATCCTCACAGGAGGGTGGGCAGGATTAGTCACATGGGGAGAAACCCAATTGGACAAGTAACAACAACAACAAAATAAATGTTGAGGAGCTGATGACTGAGTGTCTCTCTGCCTGTTTTCTGATGGTGAGGAGGAAGGGAAGGGGAGAGGTAGGCATTCGAGAAGGGAGGGATATGAGGTCCTATAGGGTTGGTGGGCAGACGCACAGGTGTGGCAGACATTCTGAATAAGGACTTGGTGAAGGACTGATTCCTGGAGACAAATCTTCTTCCTAAAATTTTATCCCACAGGAGACAAAGTAGAGGATTTGGTGTTTCTTGGAGCATGTACATAATTAGAAGGGCACATAAAAAGAGCTGCATTGTATGTAGGTGACCGTGACACTCTTTCCACAATGAAGACATCAAAATCAACACCTCCAGGACATATACCTCATGGTAGTGTGTTTTCTAACTCACTCAACTCTTTGAGCAACTGAACACCCTCTAAAAGACCAAGAACCTCAACCTACGGAAAGTAAAACAGCACATCACACACACTAGAATGATGGTATTTGCAGGACATGGTCCCAATAGTAAGGCACTTCTTTGATAAGAAACTCTAGGTGGAGCAGGAGCCTACCAAATGTGGGACACTGGGAGTGGCCATTGTCTACTGCAGGCAATAAACGAAAGCATAGTCTACAGAGAATTTGAACACAATCATACAAGTACAAGTTGATACTTTTATTACCACTTCCATACACCAGTATTTCCATAGAATGTCAGTGACTAAGAATTGCATGTTCTTCACATGTACCACAAAACCTAAAATGCAATTAAAAAAAAAACAAAGAAAAAAGGATTTCTTCCATGGAATAAAATCCTGTTTCTATTGGAGGGAATACAGTAGAGTGGTTTTGGCATCAAGTGTAGAGGGCTGAGGTCTGTTCCTCGGGTTAATTGCTCAAGACACACTCCTGTTGATTTACTCATTCACTCTCCTTTATTTCCACGACCCAGTTTTATTCCTCTTGTCTACATTGGCAATCCTTGTAATGCATTGATGTGCATCCTTTTCTCTGTATGAGTGTTAACATATGTCTCATACTGTTTGCGGACATTAGTTTTCAATTTCTGTATCCATCATCAAATCTTGTTTCACTCGGCCCTGTTTTTAAGATGCATCTGTGTATGTCTAATCTGTTCTTTTTTGTAAATGAATATGTCAGGTACGTTTTTGTATTTTCTAAATTTTAGGAAGATATTTTGATTTTTAATATTTGTACACACCTTCTTGCCCATGTTTTAACTTATACCTTAGTATTACATTTTCTTTCAAGAGACTGTACATAGTATCATGCATTTAATTTTGATTTCCACATGTTCAATGTTAGTATGTACAAGTATGATGGATTTTTTACTTTTACTTTAAAGAAATGTTGTTATGATATTTGAGGTTTACAACATATTACGGAATACAGAAACTGAAATTGTTACTATGGTCAAGCACATTAGCATATCTCTCTTCTCAGATTTTTTTTTTTTAATTGCGGCGCAGTTTCTCTCTTGTTACACAGGCTGGAGTGCAATAGAGCAATCTCGGCTCACCGCAACCTCCGCCTCCTGGGTTCAGACAATACTCCTGCCTCAGCCTCTTGAGTAGCTGGGATTACATGCGTGAGCCACCGCGCCCAGCCTCTTCCCTAATTTTTAAGTGCGTGAAAATAGCAGCAAATATCTTATTTAACAAAAATTCATAAGACAATTTCCTTTAGCCCCTCTGTACATTAGATCTTTATACTTGTTCATCCTACATATCTGCCATTTTGTATCCTTCAACCTCCATCTCCTCATTTCCCCTCCCACCTCCAATGTTTCATTCTTTACCCCAGTCTATTTGAGCCCCTAAGCTATACAGTCTTCATATGAGACCATCGAATCTTTTCCTTTCTGTCTGGATTATTTAACTTAGTGTGATGTTCTCCAGGATCATTCATGTTGTTGCAAATGTGAAGATCTCCTCTTTAAGATCAAATAATATTTTGTTCTGTATAACTACATGTAACTATACACATCCCCCCCGCCCTACCACACCACACTTTTAAATCCATTCATCCACTGATGGGCACTTAATTTGTCTCTATATCTTGGCTATTGTTAATAATGCTACAATGAATATGAGACTGCAGATATATATTTTTTGTTTAGACAGAGTCTCGCTCTGTTGCCAAGGCTGGAGTGCAGTGGTGTGATCTAGGCTCACTGCAACCTCTGCCTCCTGGACTCAAGTGATTCTCCAGCCTCAGCCTCCAGAGTAGCTGGGACTACAAGCATGTGCCACCACACCTGGCTAAGTTTTGTATTTTTAGTAGAGACAGGGTTTCAACATATTGGTCAGGCTGGTCTTGAACTCCGGACTTGGTGATCCATCCACCTGGGCCTCCTAATGTGCTGGGATCACAGGTGTGAACCACTGTGACCAGCCAAGAGTGAAGATATCTTTATGAGGCTGTGATTTCATCTCCTCTGGGTATTTATACAGAAGAAGGATTGCTGTGTCATATGGTAGTCACTTTGCTTCTTTGAGATGGAGTTTCACTCTGTCACCCAGGCTGGAGTGCAATGGTGTAATTTAGGCTCACTGCAACCTCCACCTCCCTGGTTCAAGTGATTCTCCTCCATCAGCCTCCTGAGTAGCCGAGACTACAGGCACGTGCCACCACACATGGCCAATTTTTGTATTTTTACTATAGATGAGTTTTCACTACGTTGGCCAGGCTGGTTGCAAACTCCTGACCTCAAGAGATATGCCTGTCTCAGCCTCCCAAAGGGCTGGGATTAAAGGCATGAGCCGCCATGCCCAGCGGCCAACTTTTTCATTTCTTTAGTAACCTCCATACTGTTTTACATAATGGTTATACCAATCTACATTTCCACCAACAGTGTACCAGGGTTCTTAATTCTCCACACCCTCATCAACATTTGCTATTTATTGTCTTTTTGATAACAGCATTCTTAATGAGTGTGAAATGATGCAGTGGTTTTAATTAGGCATTTTTCTTATAATTAATTATACGGAATGCCTTTTAATATATCTGTAAACATGTCAAAATACTATGGAGAACTACCAGAGTATCTTTACTCAGTCTCCTCCACTGATCTTGCAAAAGTATAGTACAACATCACAACCAGAAAATGGACATTAAATACCAGATGTGGGTGATAGGGGGAAGAAGGCAGCAAACCACCTTGCCATGTATCTACCTATATAACAATTCTGCATGATCTGCACATGTACCCCAGGACCTAAAGCACAATGAAAAAAGAAAAAGCAAAAAGAAAATGGACTTTAATACACACCATCTATTCAGATTTCATCAGTTTTACATGTGTTCTTCTGTGTGTGTGTGTATGTGTGTTTAGTTATATTCAGTTTTGTAACTGTTTTTTGCTAAGTCATATCATTGTCAGGGATAACACGAAACAATAAAATATACTAAATATCAGTCAACAAAATCCAGTTTTCTTTTCTCTATCCAAATATTAAATGCCTACCACTGATTTACAGAACAAATTCCCCTAATATCATCTTTGGAATAGAAAACTCTTCTTTCGAGTTGTCAGACAAGAAGGTAAAAACAAAAAAATTACAATGCTTTTCTTCTTACTCTTTGATATGTACAATTGAAGGTATTTGTCATTGCAAACTAATATTTCCATCCAGCATGTGACATGAAAGCATTTTTCCTATTAGGATAGTAATAAAGGATCACACTCTTCAGTCTGAGACATTCCAGAGGGAAAAAAAAAATAAACCTTAAGGTAAGAGAGGTGGAGTAAGAACAGCAGAAAACAAGCCTCCAGATCAGCCCCCTCCCAATGACAGAAATTTAATAACCATCCACACAGAACAAAACACCTCTATAGGAACCAAAAATCAGGTGAACTCTCATAGTACCTGCTTGTATCACTGAAAGAGACACTGACGAGTTAGAAAAAAAAACAGTCTTAAGTCGCTGACACTACCCCTTCCCTACCCTAGGCAGTGGCCGTGTGATGTAAAGAGCATCTCTGGAAGCCGGAAGAGCGAGAGCACAGCAATTGTGAGGTACTGAACTCAGTCCTGTCTCTTACGGCAGAAAGGAAACCCAGACCAAACTTAGCTGACTCCCACCTGGGAAGGGAGCATTTAAACCAGCTCAAGCCAGAGGGAAATCGCCCATCCCAGCAATCATAACTTGAGTTCCCACAAGCCTTGCCACCAGGGGCTCATCTGTTCCAGGTTTCTCAGAAAACCTTAAAGGCAGTCTCGGCCATAAGGACTGCAGCTTTAGCACTGAACTGGGCCCAGAGACAGTGGACAGTGGCGGGGTTGTGAAAAGGTGCAGATGACCTACTGAGACACCAGCTAAAGCAGCCGAGAGTGTGCTGGCGTCATCCCTGCCCTAGCCCCACAGACTGCACGGCTGGCAGCTTCATAAAAGAGCCCTTACTTCCAATTGAGGAGAGGAAAGGGAATTGTGAGGAGCGGTTTTTTTTTTTTTTCCTTGTGTCTTGAATACCAGTCAACCACAGCAGAATAGGGCACTGGTCAGAGTTGTGAAGACTGTGTTCTAGGCACTACCTTCGGGACATGCCTAGACATACCCTGGGCCGGAAAGAAACGTGCTGCCTTGAAAGAAATGACCAGGTCCTGGCAGCATTCATAACCGGATAACTGAACAGTCCTTTGCCTTGAATAAACAGTGAGGGCATTGAGTTGTCCTCTGAGACTTACTGGCTTCAGGTATCAGCATGGTAAGAGGGAATAGAGTAACACGTGGGCTACATGGACTATCGGAGCCTCCGGTTCACGGATGTGACTCTTGGACACCATTTCTGGACCTGCCCTGGACTACACAGGCACCCACTGCCCTGAAGGGCGAGTACCTGTCCGGGCAGAATTCACCATGAGCTGACTTCAGCACCCTTGGGACTTAAGGGAGAATCAGTGGTAGTGCTGCAGTACTCTCCCTGGCCTGCAGCAGGGGAGAATACAGGGTGAGGCTCCCTCGCTTTTGGAAAAGGAAGGGAAGTGTGGGAAAAACGGCTTCTTGTGGCTTGAGTC